AAATGTGTTTCATCACTTGAAGTTGGATGGGATGCAGCAATTTCATACCCACCACCAAACCGTGAAAATCCATAATTCACCGAGGTTGAAGCTGCTTTGGTCCTTTTAGGGTGTGGTGTAGCTGTGTTTTTTCTCCAGTGCACATTAATGGCATAACACAATTTTACAGATAATGCAATTAATGGCAGACTTTGTTTTCTTCGGTCAAATTATAGATGACTTATATACTGTGAATTACGAACACAATTTTATATTATCATATAGAGACATAATGAAACACATCTCAAAGTTTACAACAAATACATTACTCAATTACCTTGGTAGTTGAAGTGGTGTTAATCTCTCTTTGACTGCTTACATGTTCTTGTATTATGGCCATATGTATTGCAGTTCTGACACTTCATCTTAACACCGGTCTTGGGAAGTTTTTTGGATCTCATGGCACTTTTGACCTTTCATCCTTCGATTTCGCCTTGTTTTTCTTAGGTCGTGTCATCATGACTTTGTGAGGCAGTGGTTTGATGTCCGAACCTAGAACTGCCGGCCACATTAACTATCCATTCATAGGTGGAAGTCCTCTAGAGTAACTGAGATAGTGAGTTTCCCTTTTGTAATATGTCACATACTTATCTGGATCATCTCTACGAAAAGCTCTACATCCACATGTACGCTGGTTTAAATTCACGCCATATTGATCATCTTCCTCAGTGACTTGAAAATTCCATATGAATTTGTAATGCTTTTGTCCTGATCTTTTATACACTACTAGAATATTTCACATTTGCTGCTATGTAATTGTTGCGATTGTTATGGAGACACAGCAGATAACCTGAAAATTTGAACATATTTATTGTGAACAATGTTCTAAAACTCTAGTAATTTATGTAAAACTCAATGAAATTGAGTTAAATAAGTTCATATATATATATATATATATATATATATATATATATATATATATATATATATATATATATATATATATATATATATATATATATATGTGTATATATATATATATCCATGCAATGAGATATTTTAAAATCAAAGAAACAAAACTTTTTACAAAACCATATTCATATGTAAACCTATTAAATTGCAAGCGTATGCTTTGACTCAACCTTCAGAATAATATGTGTAAATCTAAATTAGTTATAAGTAAGAGTTCTTAAATTGCAGGCCAAGGAATTTAAGATAACTCTAAATTAGTTATAAGTTATTACAAAGAGTTTTTAAATTGTATACATCACCTTTGATAACCCTAAAATTTTAAGATTCTACTTCATAACCATCATTATGTTGTCCTTAAGTGAATATGAAATACATACAAATAATCCTAATTGTGTAGAGGGATAATATTACGAAAAACCGTACTAACTAATTCACTGATTTTGACATTTTCCTTGTACTTTCCTTCTTGTTCTCTCTTCAACTTTGTACTCCGATCCTTGCTCACTGTTAGAGCGAGCGCTAGAGGAGAGAGAGGCTGGGGTTCATTCATGGTTCAGCTTTTAGATTTTTAAATTCTGCAAGAAAGGATGGGAGAAAGGGGAAGGATTATTTCCAAGGTAAAGGGAGTGAGTTATCTTGCAAAGGGGAAGAAAGGCTGTTAAAAATATATTGTAAGCTATTAACAAGTCATTACACGATTAATGAAATGAAAGCTATAAATTTTATTAAATAGACTGAATGTTTTAAGATGAAATCTAAAAATTAGGATAAATTTGTGATCTGATTTGGTTTAATTTTTTATGATCTAGTTTGAGTTTTTCCGAATGTTTCTTATTAATCTGATTTGAATTTTTTGATCTAATTTGATCTGGATAAATAAGAATAAATAATAGTCCGTTCATTCCTTAAAACATTGTCATTTTTCCTTTTTTGGTTGTCTAAAAAACTTTGTAACTTTCCATTGTAATCAATTAATTTGTGGTTTTTGTTATATCTCTGTCATCTATACAAACTTCAAATATACAATTTTTTACTTTATTATTCTTCGTGTCAATCAAACCTTGTCAAGCTTTAACGGAGGGAGGGAGTAGGCAATAAGAATAAGATGAATAGAACAAAACCTTAATATTTTTTTCTCATTTTGGTAAAGGCCAGGGAATTGGAACAGTTTCAAAGCAATATGATAGAAATACCAACTTAGCAAATTAAACTATATGTTTCATACTTAATAAGATATGGACAACTCTAAAAGTTTATTTTTATATTGACTTTTTGTGTGTGTGGTCAAGAGACACACATACAAAGAATAAAGCAACACTTCTTTGTAAGACATTCGGAAATATTTTTATATGGAATTCGGTAGGGACTAGTAAAAAGTAACACTAGTTCATCTTGTATTTTCACTTTGTATACACACTACAAGAAAAGTGCACATAGATCGCACATAGACCGATTTTTTTTTTTTGCGATGGCCGCATAACTGTCGTTAAAAACACCATTAACCACACATTTTTTTATTTACCACATACAAAACTGTGGTAAAAGGTCAGAGACGACAGTTTTTAACCGTGGCCAATGTTTTTACCACGGCTGTTGTGGCGACGCACGTAAACTGACGCAAAACTGTCGTAAATGTTCCTCCTTACATTTTTACGACAGTTTTGCGACAGTTTTACGTGCGTCGGCACAACAGCCGTGGTAAAAACATTGGCCACGGTTAAAAATTGTCGTCTCTAAGCTTTTACCATATTTTTTTGTGTGGTAAATAAAAAAATGTGTGGTTAATGGTGTTTTTAACGATAGTTATGCTGCCATCGCAAAAAAATTGTGGTCCATGTGCAGTCTATGTGCACTTTTTTTGTAGTGACATTGAAAATTTTTATATTTAACAAATTAAAAATTAAGCTCAATTTTGTATAATACTTTTTGAATGTTTATTTTTTTTCTTCATAGATCACTATAAAATAGAAATTTTCAGTAAAAATACGAAATGTGTTTTCACATGCATGTTTTAGTAGATTCTAAAGGTTTGAGATTTGACATTGCCGCCTAATTGTCAGCTTCACACCTTTTAGAGCTCTAGAGGTACCCATTTTGGTTTGAAACCCTAAGAACTGATGGATCGTGATGATAAGTTAGCTAATTTATATTTTTCAATCTATTTGCAACTTTCATTTTATATAAAAGCAATTTAGGAAAAGATGAAGCCGCAACTATTAGGTAAGTTAGGACGTTATGCTATGAATATTAGTCGGTAGAGTTCATAATGAGTAAGTTTAGGTCACATATCTAAAATCAATAATTGCGCTTCAATTATCAATGTAGCACCTAAAAAGCTACACTTTGTCAAAAAAAAAAATCAAAACCTGACATCACACGTTCATGTTAGTGATAGAGCCAACAACTCATTTGAATGGAATCAATTTTCCGAATTGTGCGTGTTATCGGATAATGTGTCAATTGTGCATCTAAGATATAACTCAAGGGGTCAAATAAGTTCCTGAACCCGACATAATTATTCAACTCACACCCTCAACCGTTAAAGTGTAAAAATTATGAAAAATAAAAATAAAATATAATTTAGAAAATATAAAATACGAATATGAAAATACAAATCGAAAATACTAGATATAAAAACAAAAATAATTGTATTTTGCGGTAACTTCAAAGTAATTTTTTTTGGAAGAAAAATAAAAATTAAATATGAACTAAAAGAAATTCTTTAACTCTATTTACAAATCTTTTATTGATATTTTATATAAAATGTGAAAATTATGTGTGTGAGCGCATCCATACACATATACGTATTAGCTTACTCTATACAATATAATATACACACATTTTTATATAAATATATAATGTACACATAATTACTATGTACTATATTTAATACGCAAAAACTACTATAATATATATATATATATATATATATATAAATTTTACTTCTTATATAGTATAAACATTTATGGTCTAAATAATTAGTACAAAGTATAGAACTAAAACTTCTATATGTATTTTTTTTACTTCTATAAATACAAAAAAAAGTCTAATTAGTATGATTTGAATAAATATTATTACATCAAAATAATATTATTTTAACATATAGTTATATCTAAATAATATAATTCTAATCTATTTTTTAAATAAATTAAAAATACAAAAATGAAAAAAGAATTAAAAATGGAAACTATAAACATAATATAAACCATCAAACAAAAAATTTTAAAATATGTGTCTATTACAAAGTATTAGATATAATAGATAAAATACAAATTTAAATATTGTTGCTGAAAATACATTGTTGATTTTCTTATATAAAATATAGATATAAGCTATGGAAATACAGTTAAGGAATGTATTTAAGTTTATATTTTATTTTCTATTATCCCGCAAAATATAAATACTTTATACTTAAATTTATATTTTCGACTTGTGTTTTATTTTATATTTGTATTTTGGAACTCTATTAATCCAAGACCTGGAAGATAGATGAGCTATCAATCTGGAATATGAAAGATGGAATGTATTGATATAAGGCTCAAATAATTGAAAACTATCAATCTATAACTAATTTGTCATCAATTTTATTATTTTTTTATTTTAAAAATTCAAAATATTATTTAATTTTATTAAACTAATAAACTTTGATAAGAAACATTCATAATAATTTAGCAATGTTATTAACAAAAAATTAATTAAATAAAAACATATGTAATTTTAGGTCTTAGATCGATAATTTCAATTATTCGGATCTTATATCGATACATTTCATCTTTCAGCTCACGAATTGATAATTCATTTAACATTTAGGTCTTGGATTTATAAAATTCATTTTATTTTCTATTTTTTCATAATTTGGACACTTTTTAATAGCGGACAGGATGATCGAAGAATACGTTCGGGTTTAGAGGATCATTTGACCACTTGCATTGTTACCTCAACTGCACTGTTGACGCATAACTTAATGATGTGACATTGATTAGATAATTACCTGCAAATAATGAAATTGTATCTTTTATTTTATTCTTAGAGTATTTTTTAGTTGAGAGTGCGAATTGATGATAAATATAGGACTTATTTGAACATCTTCCGTGGTCGACCATGCAGCTGCCTAATCAAACAAAACTGAATCATGGCCGATGCTTGTAATTTAGGTGCAGTGGAATCCATCCATCTCAACTGTGGGTAGTTTCTCTTCCTCCGTTCCTTACTACTCTGAGCTGACTGATCGAAATCACTGCAACCTCTCTCGGTTACGGCCGGAAACAATGGAGAAGGCGAACAAGAACAATCTGCCGGAGATTACACTGGACGGCATCATGGAAATGCTCATGAAGAAGGTCGAAGCTAATGAGGATGGCAAAAAGGTGATACCTTTGGGGTTGTGTGATCCCACGGTTTATTCATGCTTCCACTCTCCTGCTCTGGCTCAACAAGCTGTTTCTGAGACTCTCTTTTCCGGCAAGTTCAATGGCTACGCACCCACCGCCGGCCTCCCTCAAGCCCGAGAGTAAAAATCCCTTTCCCATATCTCTTATAAAGTTTTTTTTTTCCATATTAATTATACGGAGTATTAAATCTCCAGTTCTGTATTTGTAAAGGAATTCAATTGAACAGGGCAATTGCAGAGTATTTGTCCGGCGACCTGCCGGAAGAGGTGTCCGCCGACGATGTATTTGTGAGCGCCGGCTGCACTCAGGCCATTGAAATCGCTGTGTCTATTCTTGCGTTCCCTGGCGCTAATATCTTGCTTCCAAGACCAGGGTTTCCGGTTTATGCGCTGTGTGCCGCTTTTAGGCACCTGGAAGTAAGATATTTCGATCTTCTCCCGGAGAAAGAGTGGGCGGTGGATCTGGATGCAGTCGAGTCTCTGGCTGATAAGAACACAATTGCAATGACGATTATAAACCCCGGAAATCCATGTGGAAATGTCTATACTTATAAACATCTAAAACAGGTTTCCTTCGATCTATGATTTTTCAATGAGTAAAGACTCGATTGAATACAACAACATGTATAAGGTGGAGTAAAAAATATATTATATTGCATTTGATCTTTTTAAGTACACAAATTCGAATCTTTAGTGTTAATTGAGTACATCCGTTATATTAACACGTTAATACAACTGAGCTGGCTAACAGAATAGTGAGTAAGAAAGGGTAATGGATCAAGGTTATGGCGCCGACCTTCACGAAGTCGACCAAAAGGGGAAAATCGACTAAGGAGAAGTCGACTTGTGGGGGACTGACGTCGACCAAGGAGAAGTCGATGGAGTGATTGGGGGCTGGCGTGACCTTCAAGAAATCGACCTATTAGCTTTCTGTTAGCCAACTCAGTCATATTAACGTGTTAATCTAACGGGTGTACTCAATCAATAATAAAAACCCGAATTTGTATACTTAAAAAGATCAAATGCAATATTATGTACTCTTTACTCCATCTCATACAAGTTGATATACGACCCTTACTTCATTTTACAATTATCATGAAAATTAGAGAACTTCAGAAATGGCATCTTAAGTATTCTTATTGATGCATTTTGGTACCGAAAATTAGAGAAATGCACAAATGACATCTTAAGTATTCTTATTGATGCATTTTGGTACTCTCAAGAGTCTTAATAAACGAAGCAAATTGATGACATGATTACTTCATATGGAGTATTTAGGAAATGAAGTATGCATACTTATTATAGAACTAAAGGGTGTATTTAAAAAAAGAAGAAGAACTAAAGGATGTTGACAACTACAATCATTTAGAACTATACAAACATTACCAAATTTGGTATATAACAATCTTAGTAATACGATCTAAAACGAAGACGTGAGATAATTTTAACGAGACAGAAGAAGTGCTAACTTTTGATTGAAAATTTGAGTGGAAATTTGAGTGGCAATATACGAGATAATTATTTGTGTATTATTCTACCGGTTTACTTCATGTAAGAGTTAAAATATTAAAATGTACTCCTTACGTCCTACTTTACTTGTTACCTTTGTCTTTGAGTTGTCTCAAATTAAGTGTTGCATTCTTTTTTTGAATAAAAATACGTAGTCTACAATATTTCACTTTAATATACTCAAACTTCAACCAAAATTTTGTGAATTGGCTGTGCACAGACAGTTCAAGGTTACAACAATTCTCTTTACTAGAATGAAAATCAATTGTCTGTGCACAAACAAACGATGTGTAAATGGGCGTGTAAGCTGGTATGTATAAGTAGCATTTTTGTTTTGTAATAATGTCACTAACAACGTCTACATCTAGACATTCTTCTTGATATTATGGAGAAAAACTTAGCAAAAACATATAAAACAATTCAAATAAGAAGATAAATATTTTATTTACAAATATTTGTTTTTCTACCTCTGTCATGCCACATGTGCACCGTGCACATTGTGACATTGAAGATGATCAAATGAGGTCATTGATATAACTGTAATGTTGTAAGTGTATTACTTTTAATATTTGATAATTACATTATCATTTAGGAGTGTTAATTATTTTCTAAAATAGAAATGAGAATTTTTAGTCTAAAAAGAAAAGTGAGAATATTAAATTCGGACATAGGGAGTATAAGAGATGTCTTGAATGTTCCTGATTAAATTTTATGCATTTGTTGCTAAAAAAGATTGCAGAAACGGCAAAGAAGCTGAAACTCATTGTGATAGCAGACGAAGTGTACGGGCACCTAGCATTTGGGGGTACCCCTTTTGTGCCAATGGGAGTTTTTGCGTCCATTGCTCCTGTGCTTACTCTCGGCTCCTTGTCCAAGAGATGGCTAGTGCCGGGATGGCGCCTTGGTTGGCTAGTCATCAATGATCCTGGTTGTATGATTAAAACCCCCAAGGTTTGATCTCTTCACCTACCTTCATCTTGCTTATTCGGAGTCACATAGAAGAGTACGTATGTGTTAATTGACACCACTCATTTTTTTTCTGTAATTATATATATTCTTTTAAAAAAATTAATTTGGCACCACCTATGTAAATGGAAGATTATCAATTGACACCACTCAAATATTTTTTGTAGTTATATATAAAAGTGTATTTTCTAAGATACAATTTGACACCACCTATATTAACGAAATGAGAGTCAAAATATAAATGTATATGAAATAATTACATGTTTACAACTAAAATAAAAGTTATTTATAAAATGTGATGTCTTAAGTGCAGTGGCTACATTAGAAACTTTGTTATAGTAACTTATTTCTGTTTTCGAACTGAGGAGAACATCACACCGTACTATAGTAACTTTTAATAATATTTTTGTAAATAATTTTATTTCAAAAATGTTTTAAAAAAAGTCTAAATATATTTATTTAACTAAAACAAAATTACATTTAATGAAATTTAGTCATGGTTAATATCTTTTACACTTTTCAATAAGTGATGCACTACAATATTTATTCAAGACAAATATAACGAAGCTTGAATTCAAAACTTGAAAAAAGAAACTACTCCGTATGATTAAGGCCCCGCATGAAAGAATTGACAAATTATTATGTTGACTCTAAATTTATATAAGATAATGTATAACATAAAATCTAGATAGTCATTCTTTCACACATGGTAATATTGGATAAATATATTATCATAGTGTTACTTTATTATTTAGCTATATTAAAAATTCTTATCAATATATAAAGTGCTTAAAAGCATCAACGATGAGAAAATGTACACTATTTTAAATGGAACATATGTTAGATAATACCGAAACAATCACCATTTAAGGATAGTGAAACAAATTATAGAAATAATTATTTCATTCCCAACTATTCAAATATATATATATATATATATATATATATATATATACACACGAAGTCAAATACCGTACTTATATAAGAGATCGAATACAAACCTTTCATAATTTACAAATTATAAACTAATCTTGACCATCCAATTAGTTTATCTAAATGTTGTTTATGTACAGTGGTATTTTGGTATTAAAACCGAAATTTTGGCTCAAATAATTTGAAATAAATGTATAATCATCAACAAAGTTTTTAATATTGTGTCATAAAAGTAGAATTTAGCTTAAAAAATTGACACCACTCAAATGAATCGCTGGTTGCGCCACTGTTGCTTATTATACCATATATTGACACTTCTCTCGATGTTTTGATTATAACCGAACTCAAAACTCAAAATCTAAAGATTAAAATTTCATAAAAAGGTGCTTGATAAGTCTAAAAAAGATCACCAAATAGATATTTATTCGTTTTACTGTAACATTTTATCATTTTTATCTCTGGACGATCATTTTACATCTTTAGTTTTTGTGCATGGAACAAATTTCATTTTCCTTTTTGGATGTTGGAATCCTAAAAAACATAAACCCCCTCCATCCTAAACAGTAAACACAACTTTTCGGTTTGGCCGATACATATTTGTCTAAGATAAGAAATTTCTGTAAATTTTTAATTATATACTTATATTATGCCAAAAAAAGTAAAAAGTAAATAAAAGGTAAGATTAATAATTGATTTTGTGACATATACTATTGAATTCTTTTTATAAAAATGTGAAGTTTATTTTGTTTTGGCTGTAAATATCATTGGCACATCTTTTCCATTATTTGGTGCATCATCGACCCCATCAATATTGCGTTTTGCCTTCATCTTTTATCAGTTTGTAGGCCGCATTAAGAAGTACTTCGACATTTGTGGTGGTGCTGCCACATTTATACAGGTCTGCATATTTCTTGATAGCAAATAGTGCACTTTTTCCTTGAGAAGAAATTAAGAATTCCACGGCCTCATAGCATGACTCTGTTTCCCTTTTAGGCAGCTGTTCCTCTTATAATTCAGCAAAATGAAGAGGTTTTCTTTAAGAAGACAGTTGCAATGTTAAAGCTGACTTCGGATATGTGTTTCTATAAGATTCAGGAGATTCCTTGTCTTACATGCTCACATAAACCACATGGATCAATGACTCTAATGGTGAGATACTTTCTAAATATTTGTGGAATTACTCCACAAAATCACTTTAATTGTCTTGTTGTTGCATTTAAATACTCGTTATGAGAGATTTTCGTAAATAGGACTATATAATACACCCTCCATTCCTTATAACTTTGTCAACTTTCATTTTTTGGTTGTCCTACAAACTTTGGCACTTTCACTTTTAAGTAAAGAATTTGTGGTTCCAGTTCATTCTCTCTTCTGCACACAACTCAATCACATAGTTTTTACTTTATTATTCTCTGTGTTAGTCAAACGTGACAAAGTTATTAGGAACGGAGGGAGTGCAAACTTGCAACAATAGGAGCTTCAAGGTTAAAATCCCAAAATAGAACTAAGTATTCCTATTCTACCCTTTCCCTTATCATTCTTAAATCAATAGGTTTTTTAAGATGATGATGATGATGATAAAATTAAAAAATTAAAACATACAAAATAAATAAAAAATGCATGCCTCAACCATCACCTTAGCCACCTTTCACACCGCCACCTACAGTCACGGGAAAAGAATGTCAAGTTGAATAAAATATGACGTCATGATGGCAATTTTGAAAAGAAAGCTGAGCATTTTCAAAAACTAAAATTGTCTTTTTCATGACGTTTTCAGAAGAATGTGACATTTTTTACACAAGATAGACATTTTTTCCAACGGCGGAGCTGGTGGTGCTGGGAAGTGGAGGACACAATGACCTTCATAAGTGATGATATTGATTTTTAAATACGGAGTATTTTTTTAGGTATTTTTTTCTCTAATCATGAATTCAGGTACAACTGAATTTATCCTTGCTAAGAGACATAAGTGATGATATTGATTTCTGCTTCAAACTGGCCACAGAAGAATCGGTCATTGTTCTTCCAGGTAATAATATAATACAAGTGCATTATTACTGCACTAGAGAACTTATTACCTTGCACTATTGTTTGGGTAAATTCGATGTTAAGGATACATTTGGAATGTTACTAGAGCATATAAAAAATCGTATATGCGACATAAGTTGGTATTTTTGCAGGATTGGCTGTGGGTCTCAAGAACTGGGTTCGAATTTCTTTTGCTGCAGAACCATCTTTCCTTGAAGAAGCACTGGAAAGGATAAAGTCTTTTGCTCAGAGGCATTCGTATGAAGAATATGGGAGCTATTAGAGCACAGATGAAGCCTACCTTTTATACAATGTAATAATTGTAGCTTAGTTTGATGCACATCCAAATAGTGTTACGTTATTGCTCCAGAACTTCTACTCTTTTTCTCTTAATTACACTCGATAATAAATAATTTCGCTTCGTGTACATGTCCGGTGACACGTCGCCTTACACACTCAAGTGTAATTGTTTGTGCAGATATAATTACCCCTTTTAGTAAAGGGAAGTGTGATCCTGAATTATTTGTGCACAAACAATTCATTTTTGGAGCCACATACACTTTTCTTTACTAAACTCAAGTGTAATTGTTTGTGCAGATATAATTACCCCTTTTAGTAAAGGGAAGTGTGATCCTGAATTATTTGTGCACAAACAATTCATTTTTGGAGCCACATACATTTTTCTTTACTAAACTCAAGTGTAATTGTTTGTGCACAGACAATTACACTTGAGCGTGTAGACCGACGTGTAACTGGGCGTGTACACGAAGCAAAATTCATAATAAATATGAATATGTTAAGATATTTTTCCAAAATTTTAGTTAAAAAAATTTATTAACAGAAATATGATTAAAAGTGACTGAAGTGTAATGTAATAGAGTATGTTTGACACAACTAGCTGAAAAGAGACTCACATAAAATGTTTAGTAACTCTTAGTTTTTAGTGACTGAAAAGATTTTAAATAAAAAGTGATAGCTGTTTGGTAAAAAGATGATTGTTTGATTTAATTTTGTTTGACATACAAATAGGCTTGGACTCGGGCCTAAGCCCGGGGGGGCGGCGGTTCAGAATTGGTGGACCCAGGACCAGCCCGGGTAGCCACCAGGTCCGGTCCGGGCATCCGTTTTTTTTTTTTTTTTTTTTTTTTTGCTTTTCTAACCCCCCACCCCCCGACCACCCCAAACCCCTCCTAACCATCTAGCCCAACCCGGGTGGAACCCCAAAAATGGAAAAAAGAAATCAATTTGGCCCAGACCCGGGCCCGACCCGGCCGGGCCAGTTCGCCAAATGTAAGACCCGAGCCCGGACCCCCCCCCCACGGGCCTAGGCCCGACCCGGACCCGGACCCGAGAACCGGGCCGGTCCCGGTCCCGCACAATAGCGGGCCGGGCTGGTCCACGGGCTGGGTGGCCCGACCCGAATCTACCCCTACATACAAGTTGTTGGGACTAATTAATGCTAAAAACTACAAACTTTTATGAGACGCTACTTACTGTAGCATTTCAAAAAAAATCTTTTATTTTTTAAAAACCTTTTAAAAATTGTCATACCAAACATTCAAGTATAAGCTTTCAGAGACTATTTAAATAGTACAAAAGCTAGAAAGTATGGACTTATATGCCTACCAAACATGATCATAATCATATAAGTGTAAATATTGAATATAATTAAGTTACTATAGTTAAAGCTATAGCTCTAATCATTATACACTTTTGTAAAAATGTTTTATTTTAGTCATAAATATGTATTATTAACACACATATGAGAACCTTTAATCTTCACCTTTTAAATTTTTGATCAATGCCTAGAATTAATATGGCGGTATTTTCATAATTAGTTTACAATAATTATTAAAAAAGATTTCATTTGAATTTCGAATCATTATAAAAAAGACATAATGTGTATCCTGACCAACGATTGAATAAGATTAAAGGATTAAAATAAAAAAAGTTTATAATAAGGGGTTCTCATAAAATTAAAAAAATGTATTTCAGATTACACCGTATTACAAACAATGACATAAATAATCCTCTTAGAATTATTGTGGACACAAATAGGGATCATGATCATGAGCATCTACCTTGCTTTAGAGAAAGCTAGAGTGTCCGCCTCTTCATGGTCGTCCGGTCGAAGAATCAAGGGTGAGATATCTTGGGGTTCACTTCTTCATTGATCACAAGACCATTGTGGTTGCTATCTGATCGTCTTCTCCCGCATGGCACTCTGCGCAGAGAATCCGGATCTCATTTAATAGAAGTAGATTTTGAAATGGACAAAAATGTGATTACTTAGAGTGAATAGTAACAAATGCCCTTGAGCTTCTCGTCACACCTCTACATCGCAGACCTCTCTTACACGTCATCTCATCACCTCAGACTTCCCCTTCAATTCCAGCATCTCAGAGCTCACCTTACCTGCCAATCACTCATGTACACCAATTGGAAGCAACAAATTCTCGTTCGAGAAACATATTGCATGAGTGTAGTGTGTACCTTTGCATTTCTTATGATATACTCTCTCCGACTTATAACTCTGTCAATTTTGTTTTTTTGGATGTCTCACTTATACAAAATAATAATTTTGGGAAGTAATGGCTTACCCTATTGGGTGCCTTGACGGTATACTTATACTAAAACCGAGTTTAGGAAATTACATAGTAATCCTTATATAATTACATTATTAAACGCCCTTAATCTGTGCAGGGGAAACAACGCGCAGATTGGAACATAAAAATTTAAAACGCTAACCATATAAATTTTAGTAAAAATATCAGCTAGCTGCAACTGGGTAGGAATGTACTTCACAACAAGATCCCCATGAGCCACCCATTCTCGAACAAAATGATAATCAATTTTGATGTGCTTGCTCCGATCATGTTGAATATGATTGACAGCTAAGTAAGAGGCAGAGACATTGTCAAAATGAAGCTGAACTAGAGCCGAAAATAAAAATTTCCATGTCAACTAATAGCGATCTGATGAAAAGCGTATCCTGAACAGTATAAGTTGTGGCCCTGTATTCTGCTTCAGTAGAGGATTTTGACACAGTGGGCTGCTTTTTAGACCACCAAGAAATGAGATTTGATCCCTGAAAATCGGCATAACCAGTAGTGGAACGAGAGCTATCTGGGCATCCTGTCCAATATGCATCAGAAAAAGCCATAATAACAAAAATATTTCTGTCAGATTTGAGTCATAGGCCGTGAGCTGATGTCCCCTGTAAGTACCTGTAAATTCTGTTGACATCCAATAAATGAGTAGTACGGGGAGCATGCATAATCTGGGAAACCGGATGAACAAAATATGTAATATCAGGTCTAGTTATAATCAAATATTAAAGAGCACCTACCATATTGTGATACTCAGTGGCATCAGATAAAAGTTCCCCACTTGTGAGAGAGAGGGTGGTACGCGAGGGAAGAGGAGTACGTACGGGTTTAACGGTATGAAGACGGAAACGATGTAAAAGGTCAGAAATATATTCAGCATGTGACAAAAACAATCCGTTGGGTGTGCGCTTTGCCTGAATGTCCAAGAAATAATGAACATCACCCAAATCTTTCATGGCGAACTGAAGAGATAAAGTATGAATAACATACATAACAAACGAAGAAGAAGAAGAAGAACCGGTTATGAGAATATCATAAACATACAGAAGAATATAAACGACCTGTGACTGAGAACGATAAACAAATATAGAAGACTCAGACTTACTTTATGTAAAACCCCGACTTAACAAAAAACCACTAAAACGATGAAACCAAGCTCTTGGAGCTTGTTTTAAACCATAAAGAGTCTTTCGCAAACGACAAACATGATTAGGAAAAGGCGGATGAATAAAGTCTTGTGGCTGACGCATATATACCTCTTCAGTTAAATAACTACGTAAGAAGACATTTTTCACATCAAGTTGTCGAACAGACCACCCCAAAGAAATAGCAACAGATAAAATAAGACGAACAGTGATGGGTTTAACTACAGGGCTAAATGTTTCGGTGAAATCAATGACAGCCTTTTGTTTAAAACCCTAAGCAACAAATCGAGTTTTATGGCGCTCAATAGACCCACCAGAATAATATTTTGTCTTATAAATCCACTTATAACCAACCACATTTTTAGTGTGATCCCAAGGTACCAAATCTCAAGTCTTATTAGCAATTAAAGCATTAAATTCATCAATCATGGTTGCCCGTCAAACCTCACTTTTATTAGCCTGTGTAAAACAAGTTGGACCATCTGGGGGAGAAAAAACACTTAAATTAAAAATTTGTTTTGGTTTGAAAATACCATCTTTAGCGCATGTACACATGGGATGGATGTTAAGAGGAGCAGAGATGGACTGTGAACTGCTGGCCGAGGGGCAACTGCTGCCAGACGGTGGAGATGCTATGCTGTCGGGCGTGGACACCATGCAGCCGGGTGTGAACAGTGGGCTAGGAATGTTTTCGGCCGTGGGGGATTCGGGTGGTGGGGGTGGCAGCAGGCGACGGAGTAAGCGGTGTGGAGGTAAGTGTTGTTGTTGGTGGTGTGGCAGACTCGTAACAGGACAGGTGGTGAGGAGATGGAAGAGGCAATGGGTTTGGTGTAGGTGATTTTGGCCAGTGGGTTGAGGTGGACAACCAGGAGGGTGATAGGCCGGAGCTTGGTATTTGGGTGGTGGAGATTAAAGTAGAGTATGGAAAACATTTTCATGAAAAGTAACATCCCTACTAATATAGACACGGCCAGTGGAGTGAGAGAGACAACGATAGCCCTTGTAACCCGGTGCATAATCAATAAAAACACAGTGAACAGAGCGGGGTGATAGCTTATTGTGAGAGACAGCAATAAAGTTTGGAAAACATGAGCAACCAAATACACGCATAATATCCGGAGTTTTATTAAAAAGTTGCTCATACTGTTGGGGTGTATCACGTAGGGGGGGTGATAATCGAGTACTTGGATATCTTAAGGATCGTGTAAGTTCACTTTCCGAATTGATATTCCTCTCCTATGCCTGGGTTACAAGAAATTCAATCTAGGATAATCCTTAAGGACACTCTAGAACTTAGGCACAAGAACTAGAGCCAAACTAGTCGAGTATATGGATTGTTATCTTTAATTTGAGTGCCAAAGTGATCAAGATATGTTGGATATGATTCCTCTACTCCCTCTGTACGAAATATGGTGATATATATATATATATATATATATATATATATATATATATATATATATATATATATATATATATATATAGGGTAAGGTTCAAGTGAGAAGAACCCTTTGGGTGAGAAATGAGAATGAATCTCAGCCATTGGATTCGACTAAGTTGCAGTAAAAGACACTTCATGATGCACTGAAATATGCAATCTAGCACGGTGGCATTTATGTAAATACTTCTGAAAAATCCGTATTACACGTGTCTAGTGCAACATGAAGCCATTTCGGTGCATCGCCGTCAAATATTAGTGCAACATGAAACAGTTTTAGTACAACATGGGCAAAATTTAAATATTACTGCAACATAAAGCCAATTTTAGTGCAACTTCGTAAATCCAATGGCTGAGATTCATTCTCATTTCTCACATTAGATGCATTTCTCACCTGAACCAAAATCTATATATATATATATATATATATATATATATATATATATATATATATATATATATATATATATATATATATATATATATATATATATATATATATATATATATATATATATATATATATATATATATATATATATATATATATATATATATATATATATATATCCATATTCACCGTCCTAGGCAGTTGCAACACGTTTAAGAATAACCGCAACAGTTTTTGGGAAACTGCCTAACCATTCTAGAACTTGGTCTAGAACCACAGAGCTGGTCTACTGAAAGTTATACCTCAAGTTCTACCTCGAGTTCCACTAACGTAGACACTTTGGAATTAAACTAGTTCTTATATACAAATGTGCACTCCACACCTAGTAACTTGTATTAGATCATAGTTCTAATTCTCATTGTCACTCATGTCATTTCCAATTACACAAAGCGGCCGGTGACACTAAAATCACCAACACATACGTGTAAACCCATCCAAAATAGGTGTCGGAAGGCGATTAATAATAAATGTAGTAGTATAAAGTGCATCAACCCAGAAGTGACTAGGAACAGAAGAATCAATTAGCATAGTCCTAGTTAATTCTAGAAGATGTTTGTGTTTCCGTTCCGCAACACCATTCTGAGCAAGAGTTTCAGGACATGAGATTCTAAATAAAATTCCGGATTTTAAAAAATGCTCTCGAAAAGTAGTAATCCTTGACGTTATATTTACACTAAAACCGAGTTTAGGAAATTACATAGTAATCCTTATATAATTACATTATTACCACTTTCATCATAATTAAAACAGAGTACAAATTCGGGTAACTATCATCATAATTATTCGATCACTTTACACAGAAAAATGTGACAAAACTTTGTGCGTCACACAAATGTTTTCCATAAAATGTGTGATTTATTTATATTTATACGACAGAGTAATAACTTATTCACATTCTTATTCATATTTATTATCGGGTACTATTAACAGAAATAGAGACAAAGTTCTGGAGCACTAACACTACTTGGATGTGCATCAAACTACAATTGTTAAATTGTATAGAAGGCAGGCAGGTTTCCTCTGTGCACTAAAAGCTAGTTCCCATATTCTTCATATGAATGCCTCCGAGCAAAAGACTTTATCCTGTCCAGTGCTTCTTCAAGGAAAGATGGTTCTGCAGCAAAAGTAATTCGAACCCAGTTCTTGAGACCCACAGCCAATCCTGCAAAAATATCCATTTGTGTCGCATATAAGATTTTTTATATGCTCTAGTAACATTCCAAATGTATCCTTAACTTGGAATTTACCCAAATAATGCAAGGTAATAAGTTCTCTAACGCACTTGTATAATATTATTACCTGGAAGAATAATAACAGATTCTTCTTTGGCCAGTTTGAAGCAGAAATCAATATCATCACTTATGTCTCTTAGCAAGGACAGATTCAGCTTTACCTGGATTCATGATTTGATTTTTAGAGAAATTTTCATGAGCAAGACCACATAATGGGTAAACTTCATTCAAATACCCCAATTAGGCGAATGTCTGAACTGCTGATACCAAACTATAAAATAAATATGCTAAACTTTATATTAGAACTGATTTAAGCATGATTGACTTATACGTAGCACGTAGTATTTTTTATTTCAAAGAAGCAATGAACTAGTTATTCCCTAGAACTTATATCTAGGGGTGGGCAAAAATACCGAAAAATCGGTATACCGCACTTACCATACCGAAAGATACCGGAAAATACCGAAATATTGGTATACCGTCATTTTCGGTACGGTATCATACCGTAGAGATCTATTTTGGTACGGTAATGGTAAATGTTTTCAAATACCGCGGTATACCGGTATAATGCCGTACCGACTCCCTACTCAACAATTACTTTTAATTCTAATATATTGTAAAAATCCATTACAATTTTGAAGCCCAAAATTAATACTTAAGTTGGTTACAAATACAAAAATACAAAAATAAAGGCTCAATTTCTCAAACCCACTATAACCTTATAGGCTTCTACTACGCTAACCTTAATGACTAATGAGTAATGTACAAATGTCAAGAAACAAGTCCATCTTATTCCAAGAGCTTGCAAGTCGTGATGGTTGGGCCGCTAAGTAGCTGATCAGTGAAGAGAGTTAGACTTATGTGACAAGTGTATCTACATAGGGATTCCGCGAGTCGAGACATACAACTTTGTCCGGAAATCTTATTCAATTTTTAAAAAATTATAAAAATGACTAAATACACAATATTATATTAGGAATAAATGATTTTATATCCATGTTGTTTGAATAGTTTTATTTATTTTTGTTAGAGATCACTATTGATTTAATTATATCTATATTGTTCAAGTTATTTTAGGAGAATGTGTTACTTTTTAATATGTGACATGTTGAACTGCATAAATATACTAATAATAATTATTGTTCAATATTGAATTGACATCAATAGATTATTAATTTCATTTCTTAACATTTTAATAATAGATTTAATATGTCGCTAGTAATAACGATTTAGTATATTTCGTTAGTCTATGATAATTTTTTGTATTGGGAGACATGCACGGTAATTTACCGATACCATACCGTTACCGAATCGAAACTTCGGTATACCGAAATGTGGTAAACCGAAACTTCGGTAAGGTAAAGGTATGCAAATTTTGCATACCGAAAGTTTTTGTATGACAAAGGTATGAGAAAAAATATAAGGTATACTGTACCGAACCACCCCTACTTATATCAGTCTTATTAAGTCTGATATATTTAGACTAGAGAACATGATAGATTAAGTACCCGTTTGGGAGCCTTAATTTTTGGGTTTCAGGCTTATAAGCAGACTTTTTCACTAAAACGTAAGTTTTGGTTTTATCGGCTGAATTGTGTAATAATAAGAAAAAGTAAAGTTGGAGTTACTTTTGTGGCTGTATTGGCTAAAATTACTGTAGAGAGTCATTTTAGCTATTTTTCATCTAATTTTTTCTTTATTTTATCAATAAAAAGTATTTTAAATTATTATTTTTCACAAATCAGCAAAATCAGCCAATACAGCCACATCAGCCAGAACATCATAAATTTCAGCAGATTCAGCCAATATAGCCAATTTGACTATTACCAAACGGGCTCTAAATTGTAGGGGTGGGTTCGGTTCTTGCGGTTCGGTTTTGACCTAAAACCAAATATAGAATCAAAGTAAAAAGTTCGGTTCGGTTTCGGTTCGGTTTTATACTCCAAAACTTCGAACCACGGTTTGATTGGTTCGGTTTGTTTCGGTTCAGTTTCGGTTTTTTCGGGGTTTTACCAAAAAAATCTCACTTGATTTAGAATTGATATAATACTTAAAGGGATCCAACATATTACATATAGAATGCAAGCATAATACAACAACAAATAAAATAAAAATGAGAAGAAATAAATATGTCTTGAATTATATGACTATGTGAGATAAAAAGTTCATGAATATATACGTTCTATGTGATATAGTTGAGATGAATATTTATTTTTTATCAATATAAAATCTTTAAGTTATCTAAAAATAAAAGTTAATTACTACTAATAACTAGTAAACACATATTATCATCATTCAATATATATATCTACATTATTACAGACAATGAATGTGTAAATGAATTTATAAACTAAATTAAATTAAACATAACACAAACATTATTTCTATAACACAAGAAAACCAAAGACTATTGATGATATTAAGATTAATTAGAATTAATGCTTAACAATTAGAAATAATTATATAAATATGACCAAAATAAAGATGATTTGCAAAAATATGACTCATTACTAGAGTAGTAATGAAAACATAGTAATTCATGTTCAAGTTTTGAATTTAAGTTACCACAACACTACGTTGTGGTAATGAATAGTCATATTTATGTAAATAAGTTTTATTTTAGTAATATTCTTATAAAAAACCCTAACAATTAACATATAAATTTCATATTTTAAATAGTTCGGTTTGTTCGGTTCGGTTCGGTTTTTTACATTCGGTTTCGGTTTCTTAGCGGTTCGGTTTTATTTGGTTGCGGTTCGGTTTAATTTGATTCGGTTTTCGGTTTTCGGTTTTTCGGACCCCGCCCTACTAAATTGAACCAGTCCAGACCAAAGGTGAGTATTGTAAACACGCATAATATCAAGTCTGACTAAAGTAGACCATCTTAGACCAGGTCAAACTCAAACACTAGTGCAATCCAAAGTCATCCACAAGTTAATACCGAGTAGAATAGAGTACTAATTGTTGGGAAAAACTCCGGACTTTCCCGATTCGTGAAGTTAAGATAGGCACTTAGGAAATAAGGTAGCAATGGGAGCACACGATTTAAATTCTGCAATATGGTGATTCTTCCACTATACAAAAGAATAGTAGGATTTACAAGGACGTTACAAAATTGTCTCACTCAATAGTGGCTCACTCAAGCTTGAGGATATGAACTTCCCAAGCTAACTCTCTTCTCTCTCAAAGAGACTCTCTAACTCTCTAGCTTTCTCACTCTAGGAAGTGGCTTCTCTCTTGCTAGGATGGTTAGGAATAGAGGCATCTACTCTTATTTATACAACTCCACCTCCATAATGAATGATGGAGAGTAGTTCTCTAGAATGCTCTACATATGTCTACTTATTCTAGAAAACTCCAAGGAATCTCTACACCTCTCCATTCCCTTCCATATGCTTCCATACTCTTCCATAAAGTTCCGGAAAGTTCCACACATCTCTAGAACATTCTAGAGGATTCCACACTATTCCACAAGCTTCTAGAGAGTTCTAGACTTCTCTAGGATTCTCCGGAACATTCTATAAAATTCAATAGTGCTCTAGAAAGCTCTAGAATTTTCTAGCACCTCTCCAATTAAGGAGGGATCCCAACACAAATAGACGCTTAAAGTTCAGTACAAATGAATAGCTTCTATGTTTAGGGTGCCAACTGTATTAAGCTTGAGATTTTAAGTTCACACCTTTTCAAATTTTGAGAAATTATGAGGCTGTTTGGTAACGATGTTTTTCAGCTTACCAGTCAACTTTTTCATCAAACACGTAACTTTTGATTTCGCGCGCTGAATTGTGTAACAATAAGAAAAAGTAAGGTTGAAGTTACTTCTCTGGCTGTATTGGCTGAAGTTACTGTAGATGACCATTTTAACTACTTTTTCATAAAAAAGTTTTCTTTATTTTATTAATAAAATGTAATTTAAATATATTTTTTTTATTAAATCAGCGGAATCAGCCATTCCAACCCATTCAACTAAAACTTCATAAATTTCAGCAGAATCAGTCAATTCAGTCAATTTTCATATTACCAAACGGGCTTTATGTGAATTGATTTTTTTCTAAAACGTAACATGATACTGTGCCCCTAACACATACCATGTATTTTCGATTAAGACATGTTATTTTCTTTCAATAATAGGCTGTATTCACTCCCAAAAATAATTGTGAATTACAAAGATATTCTTAAATCTTAATTGTGCACATGACCTATGGTTTCCTATTCATAGTAAATATCTTTAATATTTAAATGTAAACGTAAGACAGCTAATGTGATTTTGAGTAATTCCACAATGTTTTGAATGGAATTCCACAAATATTCACAATATCTCACCATTAAAGCCATCGATCCTTGTGGTTTATGTGAGCATGTAAGACAAGGAATCTCTTGAATCTTATCAAAACACATGTCCGAAGTCAGCTTCAACATTGCAACTGTTTTCTTAAAGAAAAGCTCTTCAGTTTGCTGAATTATAAGAGGAACCGCTGCCTAAAAGGGGAAACCATCATTCTATGAGATAGCAAAAAATCTTAATTAGGAAAAAATGCACTATCAAGAAGTGTGTACCTGTATAAACGTCGCAGGACCACCACAAATGTCGCAGTACTTTCTAATGCGGCCAAGAAACTGACACAACATGAAGGCAAAAGGCAATATCGATGGATCAATGGTGCACCAAACGGAAAAGATATGCCCAACAAAACAAAAAAAGAACATTACATTTTCATATAAATTAGTCATGTGACAAACTTTTTATTTACTTTTTGTTTTATTTAACATAAAAATGTAATGAAAAACTTTGTCTCACAATATCACATAAATATGCATACGCCAAACTGAAAAATTGGGTTTAGGACAAAGGGAGTATCATGTTTTTAGGATTGCAACAATATGAAAGTGCCTTATAAACCACCCTTTAATTTCATCAAAGTTCAAACATTAAATTTCGAGCGCTGAATTCTGTTATAACCAAAATGAGTAATGTTAAAGTTACTTGTATAGTTTAATTGACAGAATTTGATGAGACCAATTTTCACAGCTCTATTCAAATATCTTTTTCTTTATTTTACTAATACTACGTAAAATCTTTGAAATATAATCTCTCAATCTTGAAATAATAATTTTGTTTTCCATTTAGAGTATGATGTCCCAAAAAATTGTCTCGTTTCCCATTTTGACAATAGTATATGGGTCATATCATTTCACCATTTTCTACTCGAACTTCAACCACACCTTTTACGTTTTGAACCACTTCATTAAAATGTGTGCTAAAACAAAAGGGGACAATTAATTTGAGACAGATAAAGTAAGTTTTTCATAATTCAACACTAGTTTCATCAACACTACTCACACTCACACCATTCTAATTTAGCAAATTCACTCGATTTAGTCATAAATTCAGCTTCAAATAGAATAATACTCCTAATTCAATCAATTTCAGAATTATCAATCGTGTTCTAAATAAAAAGTTAGCGAAGTTAAAGTAATTGTTCAGTATTTTTGGAACAAACTAAAATGATAAAATGGGAGGAAATACTGAATAAGCAGGAGGAAGTTAGGTGAAGAGACCTTGGGTGTTTTAATAGTGCCATTAGGATCATTGATGACTAGCCAACCAAGGCGCCATCCCGGCACTAACCATCTCTTTGACAAGGACCCGAGAGTAAGCACAGGAGCTATGGACCCAAAAACTCCCATTGGCACAAAAGGGGTACCCCCAAATGCTAGGTGCCCGTACACTTCGTCTGCAATCACAATGAGTTTCAGCTTCTTTGCCGTTTCTGCAATCTTTTTCATAACAAATGCATAAAATTCAATCAGGAACATTCAAGACATTGTTAATAATTACAAACTTTTTCACTCTTAGAGAGTGACCAGACATTTTCTGTATCATCTCGTTTTTCTCTAATTTTCATGTTTTGTGAATTAAAGGTTAACAAATTTTCCATAATGACTTTTCCAAAAAGTGAGTTTAATGCACCGACCCGGAATGTAATACTCCCTCCGTCCCGTTGGAATGTTCCCGGTTTGACCTACACACATATTAAGGAAATAAACTTACCAGGGGGTAAATTTTACTGTTTGGACACTGTTTGGACACTGTTTGACACTGTTTGGTACTGTTTGACACTGTTTTGCACTGTTTGACACTGTTTTGATGTAGGATAACTTTTCATTTAGGGAAATGAGAACTTTCCATTGGGACATCCAAAAAAGGAAAGTGGGAACATTCCAACGGGACGGAGGGAGTACTTCGTATAAAAATTCAGCGCAGGCTGCGCAGCGCATTAATCTATGTGGTTTGGAATAATGTGTCAAGCCACTTGCATAATTATTCATGTGCATGACCCCTTCTGTTAAAAAATTTAATTGTTAAATAAAAGAAAAAAATATTAGCATTTTTTAATTTAGAAATTTTGACAAATTTACTTACATATTCAATCATAATATTCATGATGGTAAACTTTGGTCAACCACTTTTATGATAGTATTTTGAAGAAAAAACATTTACGTATCATTTTCACCTTATAAATAAATTCGTAAAAGAATATATAGTCAGTCAAAGTTTACAATCTTTGGTGGAAAAAGTTAAAGATGTCTAATTTAAAAAGGATCAAGTGAGTAAAATTTTAAAACTAGTACTTAGACTTCATTTATCAAATAATTTCTCCATCCCAAATTGATTTGAAAAGTCAATATTTTTTGTCAATCAATGTTAAAGTTAAATTCTCCTCTATTGACAATTAATTCAATTTTTAATAGTTAAAATTCACATTTTCAGAAACTACATTAAAATTTTTATAAAGTTGTAAAATCCAAATTATAATACTCCGTATAATTAGAATCGATGTCCTAATTAAGTGAATAAATCAATTTGAGACGTAAGTAATACAATTTTTTTTGAAAGAACAGAAGTAGTACAACATAAAAACTTGTCATGTCATCAATATGCTTCATTTAAGTGTTAGAATACCAAAATGTATCAATATCAAAAGTTGACATCAAAAGTTGACGACTTAAATATTATTTAGACAATACTTAGACAGATGTTCATATTATGACATGATAATTTAAGTATATTTAGACAAATAATCATATTGGATATATGACATAATGTCTTATTAATGATAACTGTGATGTGATGTTATAAGTGTGTTACTTTTAAAATAAAATTTGATGATTAATTTATTACTCCCTCCGTCTCATTTATATTGTGCCGTTTTATCTTTTCGGGAAGTCTCACTTAAATTGTCTCATACCATATTTGGCAAAGTTTGTGTGATTCCAAATGATTCTTACTTTATTCTTACTTTATCAATTAATATCAACCACACAAATACACTTTTCTTAATAACCGTGTCACCCTCTTCCGAGAGGGTATAAATGGGACGGAGGTAGGAATTAAGAGTATTAAATTGTAAATTAAAATTTTTATAAAGTTGTAAAATCCAAATTATAATACTCCGTATAATTAGAATCGATGTCCTAATTAAGTGAATAAATCAATTTGAGACGTAAGTAATACAATTTTTTTTTGAAAGAACAGAAGTAGTAGAACATAAAAACTTGTCATGTCATCAATATGCTTCATTTAAGTGTTAGAATACCAAAATGTATCAATATCAAAAGTTGACATCAAAAGTTGACGACTTAAATATTATTTAGACAATACTTAGACAGATGTTCATATTATGACATGATAATTTAAGTATATTTAGACAAATAATCATATTGGATATATGACATAATGTCTTATTAATGATAACTGTGATGTGATGTTATAAGTGTGTTACTTTTAAAATAAAATTTGATGATTAATTTATTACTCCCTCCGTCTCATTTATATTGTGCCGTTTTATCTTTTCGGGAAGTCTCACTTAAATTGTCTCATACCATATTTGGCAAAGTTTGTGTGATTCCAAATGATTCTTACTTTATTCTTACTTTATCAATTAATATCAACCACACAAATACACTTTTCTTAATAACCGTGTCACCCTCTTCCGAGAGGGTATAAATGGGACGGAGGTAGGAATTAAGAGTATTAAATTGTAAAATGAAAACCTTTAACGAGAATTTCATTTATATATTTTTTCTGATTTTCATAATAATTGTAACAATCATAGATTGAATGGAACCTGTTTTAGATGTTGATAAGAATAGACATTTCCACATGGATTGCCGGGGTTAATAATCGTCATTGCAATTGTGTTCTTATCAGCCAGAGACTCAACTGCATCCAGATCCACCTCCCACCCTTTCTCCGGGATAAGATCGAAATATCTTACTTCCAGGTGTCTAAAAGCAGCACAGAGCGCATAAATCGGAAACCCAGGTCTCGGAAGCAAGATATTAGCGCCAGGAAACGCAAGAATCGACAGAGCGGTTTCAATGGCCTGAGTGCAGCCGGCGGTCACAAACACATCGTCCGCCGACACCTTTTCCGGCAGGTCGCCGGACAAATACTCTGCAATTGCCCTGTTCAATTCCATTTCCTTACAAATATCAACAGAACTGGAGATTTAATTTAATTCATATGACAATAGCTTAATGCGAGGAATAGGAAAGGGATTTTTTTTACTCTCGGGCTTGAGGGAGGCCGACGGTGGGTGAGTAGCCATTGAACTTGCCGGAAAACAGGGTCTCAGAAACAGCTTGTTGAGCCAGAGCAGGAGAGTGGAAGCATGAATAAACCGTGGGGTCACCCATCCCCAAAGGTATCACCTTTTTGCCATCCTTATTAGCTTCGACATTCGCCATTAGCATTCCGATGATGCCTTTGATTGTAATGGTGTTCTGGGTATCAATCTCCGGCAGGTTTTTCTTATCTGCCTTCTCCATTGTTTCCGGCGGTAGGCAGAGATTTAGAATAGAGTGGTAAGAATCGGTGGAAGAGGAATTAGGCACAGATGGTTGCTCCGCCCAAGCCGAAATCGATCGATGGATTCGGGTGTACCTGGATGGATAATACAGTATCAGCCAAGATTCAGTTTTGTTTGATTTTGCTGCATGGTCGATGAAGGCTGGATTTTATAGGGTACGAATGGAACACAATAAAAAACACCTACTCCAACAGGCAACTTGATGATAGCAGACCACAAAATTTAAATGATTGATATAATTCATAAATCATACTCCCTAATAATCCTACACGTGTAAAATAATTTACTTGTTATTGATACTTCTTTAGTTATTAAATAAATGTAACAGTTAATATTTTATATTTGTTGTGACACAATTTTGATCATTAATATACTTCTCTATTGCTGAGAAATGAAAAAGTCAGACTTTGAAAATTTAAGATGAGACAAATTTAACAATATTTTTTCAAAAAAAAAAAAACACTTTAAATCATTAATAAATAAAATGTAGGTAAAGTAGAACATATGAATAGTTTAAATGTCAACATATTACAGTTATTTAAGAACAAATGTAGTATAATTCAAACATTACATCCATCCCATTGGATACAAGGAAAATACAGGGTATATTTTGTTTTGTTGTGTTCCGAATAAAAAAAATTATTTTGTAGTGTGTTAATGATTTTGTCTTCGTTTTAATTAGCAGTTCAAATAATACTCGGTAGTACATAACTACATACTAATATTCATTTTACTACACAATTAACCCAAATATCAATGAGTATCAGGTGTTAGAGTCTAATTAGACTATTAGTTATCTAACATAGAGAACATCAAAAAAATTCTAAACTATCAATTATGAACTATCTTTTATATATAAAAAAGAAACTCACTTTTACTTCCAAAGGTTTCACGATTTCACGTCTCATAATATTATCATGAAACCAGTTAAAAAGAGACAACAGTAGGATAACATCTTGCTCCCTCCTGTTTCGAAACGTTATTCTAAATCGAGTTCAAGATCGAGACAATTAAAATCGTGTTCCGTCCTTGACCGTGCTTACCCCTAATTTTGATCGATTAAACTCAGATACCTTTCATCAAATGGGAAAAATAAAACGCATGATCATTAGGATTTGCGGATAAGTGTGTTTATTCCACTAAGGCATGCCTTCTCATTGGATTAGTACGCACTAAAGATGTTATTACTTGGGCTGTTTTCAGTCCCATAGCAGACCAGACTAGATCAGATCAGACCAGATCAGACCAGTTCAGACCAGACATTTACAAGATCAGACTAGATTAGATCAAACCACACCAGATCATAACAGACTTGGGTAATTATAAAATAGACAGAGACCCGACATTTACCAGATCAAACTAGACCAGACCTATTCAAACCGGACCAAACCAAACCAACAAATTTCAGTCCAAGCAAAAACAATGAAAATATTTAAATGTACAAACAAACAGTTATAACTTATAAGAATGTCTACCAAAATGGTTAATAACAATCAAACAGTGTCTAAACAGTGTCTAAACAGGTCTAAACAGTGTTATATGTATTTTTAATAATTAGGATGTTTTCTTTTGGACTGAAATTTGCTGGTCTGGTCTGGTCTGGTCTGGTCTGTTTAAGTCTGGTTTGGTCTGGTCTGAACAGGTCTGGTCTGGTAAATGTCTGGTCTCTGTGTATTTTATAACTACGGAAGTCTGGTCTAGTCTGGTCTGGTCTGTTTAAGTCTGGTCTGGTCTGGTCTGTTTAAATCTGCTATTATGAATGTCTACTACCGTACGTAGTACTAATTATTAAAATGGTTATATGTATTTTTAATCCATTTAAGAGAACCGATCTGCTCATTGGAGCAAGAAGCTCACAATTCAAATAGTTAAATGTACTTTAATCTAAATTTAGGGGCGGATCCAGGAATGTGAGATGTTCTGGGCTGAATAGAAATTATAACAAAAAATTAGAGGGGTGGGCTAAATGTGAAAAATGAAAAAAATTACACTAAAAAAATTGAAAATTTTCTAAGTTGCACTGGATTTCAGCCTACCATAACCCGTAAATAGTCTTCCCTTAATCTAATGATCACATAGTAATGGTACAAACTATTTTACCCCTAAAAATGTCATCCAAAGGCGTTTTCCATGAAGACTTGGGGCGTGTTAGTGTTCAAATAGGCTCACAATTCTTCATACTAATGCTAATTATTAAAAGGTATAAATATGTTTTAATCCTTGCAAATATAGCACATTTTGTTTCAAGTCACTGCAAAATATTTTCTTTGTTTGTCATCCTTGAAATTTATGTTGGTTTTCCTTTTAATCCATGACTAATGATAACAACCTCCGTTTCACAGAATCACAACGAAAAAAATTCGACTAATAGGTATCATTTAATTCTTTGTCATGTCATTCAAAAAATATTTAATTTTATGTTTAAAAGATTTTTAATACATATTTGAAAAATTGAATAATTAGTTTTAGTATTGTTTGAACTCTCTAGTAGATTTATAAAAGAAATTTAAATATGGACTAAAACCAAAATAGCGTGTTTATGCAAAGTGATAAATTTAAATATTTCTAGTAGATTTATGCAACTTACAATAAAAGAAATTTCAAGTAGAGTTGTTTCGGAGTTGAAGATGGACTAAAACCAAAATAGCGTATATTACAAAGATGAAAAACAATGAAAATATTTTGCAGGGATCTAAAACAAAGTATATCATATTTGCAGGGACTAAATTCATATTTAAAACCTTATTAAAATGATTATATGTATTTCCAATCTATTTAAGGAAACAGATTCGCTCACTCTTAGAGCAAGAAGTTCACAATTCAAATAGTTAAATTTACTTTAATCTAACGGTTATGATTTAGTTTAATAGTTCATCTATGGCAAAAGGTATGGATTAGTTTTCTAAATTTAGGAGATAGACTCTATAAGTGAGCATGAGAGTAGATAGTGAATGAATGTATTTTTTTTACCCCAGAAGGCAAACCACTAAAATCAGTGGGGTAAATGCAGGGGTCATTTACTGAGTTTTTATTAATGGTCAACAGCTAAACACAGAAATTCAGGGGGACCAAACCAAATCCGAGAAAATAAAATACATAGATTATAATCTAATAGAAGGAATTCCAAAATAATCCATCCAAAATGCCCTTTTCACAAAAATAGGCAATTGATCCATCTTCGTAAAAACCAGAAGCTTGTCTGTATGAATCTGGGCTAAATGATGTGCAACCCAGTTGCCTTCCCTATTCGTATGCCCAAATTGTAAACCTTTCCTAAAAGCTTGCTGTAGAGTTTCCTGAACTTCAATCTTCCATCTTCTTCCTTCTTTACCTTCGACATACTTCAGTGCCAGGTTAGAATCGGTTTCTACCTGAAATTCGGAGAATCCTTTTTCAACCGCCCATCTTGTAGCGAATTGAAGAATATAGCCTTGAGCTCAGCTTCCAACGGAGACAAAGCATCCACCGGAAAGCAGATTGCTACCTCAAACGTTCCTTTCCGGTCGCGCATAATAGATGACTAAGTAACTCGCATCCACATTTAATTTCCATTTCTTAATTGGCTTAAACCATCTGATGATTTGAGGTTTGAAACCCCTGAGCTTGAAATTGCGAGGAACCAATCCTTCTGCAATCAAAGTTTCTCCAATATGCCGAACATTGGTATTAGAGAGACCATCCAAGAAGGTTGACAAGCAATGGGGAAATAGGTATCAAAGTTTTCCAGAGGCATCAAATGGCTTGAAACTTATCATTGAGAGCAAAACTTTTTGTTTCAATATTATTGGTTGCAATACTATTCGAATATCTGAAACAAAATGTGGCATTTCATCTAGTGTTGAAATTGATATTGAAAGCATTATTTGGCTAAGGGACTCCATTTATACTATTCTATCTGATAACTGGTCTTGCACCAAATTAGAGCTGTAGAATTCTTTTTCTATTTTCTATGATGTTAATTGCTTTGGCGGTTTCTTCCGTATCATTGATAGGGGTGGCGAATCTTTGTATATTCCCGAGGGAAGGAATGGATTAGGGATTAAGCTCTTTCTGTCAGGAATTATGAAATCAGTCATTTTGTTGAAAGAAGTCAAAGTCAAACAGCCACCTCTACTACTTGAACATAGTCCAAGGGAAAACACTAATTTTGAGTGGGATCTTGTCACCTTGGATAGAGATCTCCCTCCTAATGAGCTTTCAATTTCTGGCACTCTTTTTCAAATTGATGTTGAAAAGTCTGACCTCTGTGACCAATCTTTGGTGCTCCATTCTGAAATTGACTCCTCGTTATCACATCTTAAGGATTTCTTTCAAACTATTATGACTCAAGGGGTGGACTCACTTTCTAAATTTTTAATCAAAGAGTTTGAAAGAATCATTGCCGGTAAACACGGTGAAGAACAACACACTACGGAGTGTACACCCACAGATAGTCTAAGAAATGTGTCTTCAGGTAATAGCCAAAAGGGACCTTTGGAAAAAGGGAAAGCTACTAGGTGTACATTTCTAGAGAATCCAATGGAGGCTTATACAGGTTATCAGCAAGGTTTTGATTTTGAGGAAGCATATAGTGATTCCTTCTTTTCACATCCGGAGAATGAATATCTTGGTCATGCTTCAGAAAATGAGAATAGGGTTCCGATCTCGACAGTAGAAGACCTGTGGGACACAAAGCTTTGTTGATCACAAGAGAGAATTACTTACCTACAGGTAATTTGAACACTGGCATTGGAATGTACAGGATGAGTAAGCGGCGGTCACACCATATGAGGACAAGATCCCAAACTCGCGAGGAACCTTGATCTGAGGTTTTATTATTGAGGGGGGTTTCTATTGTACTTGGGGTTGGTTATTTACTTTCTCGTTTTTTCTTTGTTTCTTTTTCCGTGCTTTGTTTTTGTACTTTCTTTTTCATTAATAAAATATCTTTTTATAAAAAAAAAAAGAGACCAGCAACCCAGTTTTGAGTATATAATTTTACTTGAACAATCAAATTATCTGAAGTAAGGCTAGTGTTCCCATTTCCCCAAACTAGATTTGTATATGATTTCCATACCACCCAACATATTATACCAGGAATACTCGGTTTAACAATATCCTCCATGCTATTTTTGCTAGCTCTAGATTTCCAGTAGCAGTGAAGGCTATAGTCCATATTCGGAGATTGGTATATCCCAAATATACTCAGAAAATATTGCCATACCCCTTTCACTGTAGGACATTGGTAGAATAAATGCTTCATAGAATCAATATTCCTTTTACAAAGCATACACATAGAGGGGTTTAAAACATATTGAAACCTTCTAAGATTGTCTGAAGTATGCACTGTAGTAACTTGATTTTAAGCTCTTGCTTGGTTTCCCAAATCTGCTGATAGATTGCAGAGTTGAATGATAATTCTCTAACCTCATCATATGCTGATTATAAAGAGAATTGACCATTATCTTCTTCATCCCAGGTGAGATTTCCATTTTGGTCCATGGTGCTAAGAGCTAAACCTTGATCATTGACTGAGCATATCCTTCTCCAAACAGGGGAATCTGTAATTTTATGTATCATGCTTCCATCCCTTTCATATCTTAACTTCATAATTTGCACCCAAAGAGAGTCTCCTGTCTTCCATTTCCGCCATAGCTTCAGAGTAAATGCCTTCTCAATATCAGTTAACGATCTAATGCCAAGACCCCCTTCCATCATAGGAAAACATAACTTAGACCATTTAACCCAATGATGTTTTTGTTTGTCATTAGATGACCCCCAAAAAAAGGATGTCATCTTGCTATTAAGCACTTTAATCACCTTTTTAGGCAATGTGTCAACTGCCCGCAAGTGTAATGGTATAGAGTTTAGCACATACTTGATTAAAATAAGTCTCCCCCTTGTGATAAATTTTTTTGCTTCCATGGAGATAGCTTCTTCTCGAACTGTTTAATTATGTTGCTACAATACTCAAATCTATTGATACCCTTGTGCAGGTTAACACCAAGGTACTTAATAGGCAAAGTAGTCAGCTTCATTCCCAGAAATCTCTTAATATGATTCTGCCTTGCTGGGGATGTTTTGCCACAAATCACTGAGCTTTTGGAGAGGTTGATAGACTGCCCTGATGCCTCCTGATAAGTATTAAGAAAAGCTTTAAACTTCAATAAGGATCTAGACTCTCCATTTAGAAAAATTAATAGGTCTTGGAATGCATTGATGAAGTGGCCTGTGTACCGAATCGAAGGCAATAGACCAATAACAATAACACGAGATGTAATACATTTAACTGGACTTGAAATACTATTTTCAAGTTATTAAATCTAAAAATAAATACAAAAAATAACTATAAGTACATTCCTAATGTGGATGAGAAGACAATTAATGTTGGCGGAAAGTGCAGTGATTCTTACCGGATGTGCAAAAATGTTGTGCCGTAATGTCGTGCAGTAATCTTCTCCTTAATAGCACTACAACACCCCAAAACAAATTCCCGCCCAAGCCGGTGCTTCCTATCCACCGTCCGATTTTAATAAAATAAATCTACGACACTGCCCAAGTCGTATTCCTCTTTCGTTTTTGAAACTTCTCAAACCCCAAATCATCCGTTCTTCCCAAATCACAGCACCAAGGAAGCTAGCCGCATCGCCAGCTCCCAAATCCTGCCAAATCGATTGATGCCCTTGGTTCTCAACACCCGAATAACCTTGGTTCATCTCATCCCTTCACATCAACAAATGGATGCTGCTGTTTGGGGACCGCTATCGCGGCTCACCGAATCCGCCCTCTCCGAGGAACAGAGCTACGGATAATCTTCCAAATCCTATTCATTCATGTAATCCCATAGACCACGCACTAATTCTTCATCAGTATAGTCTTGCTTAATTGGACTTCGTTGGATTTCCTCTTCCTTCTTTTCAGTTTTTTTGGCATGAACCAAGAATTGGGAAATGGATCTTAGACACAGTAATGGTATATGGGATAGTTTGTTATCTTTCACAATATCTTATGATGGGCTTTAGGTGTTTAATGTGTTTGCTGCTATTGTCTAAATCATCATTTTGTTTCTCTTAATGTGTTTATTAGATTGTTTAATGGTTTAAGGTATTTTAGTGATGTTATCATTTTTTTTAAAGAGAGCTTCATATAGAATTAGTATAAATATGTTTTACCAAAGTTATACAATTAAGCATCGTGGGATGTTCTTAGTTCTTACTAATTACTCTATACAGACCCTGCCCTATTGTGTTTCATGTTTTTGGAATATGCTAAGGTCCTGAACATTTGACTTTGATTTTATGCCCTACTCTGACACTGACAGTAGCAATGAAGGAGGTGATGGTGATAGAAGTATGTTTTGCTATTTCCTTGGCAATGGAAAAACAAATCAAGTGGTGGTTTTCTCCCTACACACTTGGATTTGGGATCTGTTTGTTCCCTTCATTTGTGTTGTGATGCTGTTGGGGTATGTGTTCTAAGCCTATTACTATGTGCTTTTAGCTTATTTGAGCTATAAGTAGGCTTAACCCTACTGTTAGGTGAAGAAAACAACCCGGAAATATTTTGTTCTTCCAACTATTGAATCATTTGTTTTTCTTTTGTTAATTGTTTTCTCTTTAGCAACAGTTTTTAATTTTTACCTTCTCGCAACTTATGAGATAAAGGTGGCTGTGCAATATCTCTTATGATGGTATTTTCTGTTTTTCCAGGTTGAAAATAAGAGTAAAATAAAATCTACATACAGATTTATCAACTATTGCTTATAAAATCTGCATACAAATAATCTACATAAGATTGTTTGTATTATGGAAAAGAGTCAAATAAATACATCTACTATTATCAGATTGTTTGCAATATGCTAAGGTCCTGAATATTTGACTTTGGTTTAATACCCTACACTGACACTGACAGTAGCAATGGAGGTGATGGTGATAGAAGTATGACTTAACCCTACAAGCTAAGGTAAGGTATAAGCTATAAGCTTCTTGAGTTAAAAATGTAAAACAGAGATGCATTTTTATACTTCTTTTTACAAAAGTTTCTGACTAATCCACAAATACTTAGCCATTACTATGTGCTTTTAGCTTATTTGAGCTATAAGTAGGCTTAACCCTCCTGATTATAAGTAAGACTTTATCTTAGATTGTAATTTATTTTTTAATTATAAATACATACATTTTTTCAATTCTGATTCCACCAAAGTACTTGAGAAAAGCTTTCAAGCTTCCTCCTCCCTTATGATATTAACCTGAAATTTCTCAATTTTCATACAAATATTAGTGTTTTTAGAAAAAAAGCCTTCTTTAAAGCTTCACGTTGTCTTCTTTAAGCTCAAAAGTTTTGCTTATTATAAGCTTTTAAGCAAAACTTCATACTCTTCTTTCACAATGTAAAATTCTGAATCGTGCAGTTTGTTTTTATTATAAAATTCTGTAGTAATTATTTTGACATATTTTTTTTTTATCCAAGGCCATATATATAATTAATTGAGGTAGAATTTTTTCCAGTTTTAATTTAAGGCACAATCCTCCCCTTGATATATGCACGATTTTTAAACCTTCTTTCATATAAGATTTTCCATATTTCCATATTTAAGTTCCTTGGTTTGCTTAATTTGTTGCTCTGCTAATTAAGGAAGGATTTACATAGAAAGTTTTAATTTAAGGCAACTTTTACTCTAAGCGGTTTTTAATCTCAGTAGGAATTATTTTGAATTTCCTTATTTAAGGCAATGTGTATAATAAAGATGCAATTAGTTCAGACAGCTTTATTTTAAAACTTTAAAATTAATGCAACCACTTCAAGTCATACAAATAACTTTGAGTAATGACAACGATGCTTTCGCCACGCAACGATGCTTTTCTCAATGCAATTAATTGGTTGGAATGACAACGATCATATGAATAAGCAAGTTCAATTTATCATTATGTGCATGTTTTGAAACTTTTTTTTTGAAACATTAATAATAATAATGATGATGATGATGATGATGATGATGATAGTGATAATATTGATAGTATCCATGATAAGTGTGCAGTATGTAGCAAATTTAAAAAACACTTTTAGCAATTATTTCAATCTATTGACATTTATTGAAATTATTACTAAGGATGTTGGCTATGGGCTCATCACAATCCTTGAGCTCAACATCATCACGAGCTGCATTAAGTGATGATAAAGAAGTTGGAATTGTCAAGATGTTGTCTGAACTACAAACTACTAAGGAGGTATATATAATCATTCAATTTGTTTTTGAATTTCAAATTCTGCCATTGTTATACGGTATGTTCATCAGTTTCATTTGTGAATAATGTACCCTTGGAACAGGTTCGTGGGTTGTGGTTTTATGGGAAGATAAATGCTATTCTGAATGCTACCGGTTGGGCCTATATGGGATGCTTCAAAAGGTCATATTTAGTGATAGCCTCCAAGATATAGTCATATTTAGTCACAAGTAGATTCTTAATTAATCATTACATTTATTTAGATATTTAGATGTCTAAATAAATAACTTAAAACAGCTAAGCTATTTAGATCCTTCTTTAACAATTTAAACAAAAGGTTTTGTATTACAGCTTTGGTTTATTTTAGAATAGGATTTCATGGAAATATATTTTTTGAAACTAAAGTCGATTTCCCCATTCACTTTAGGTCATGTCGTGCAAGAGTCATAAAGTATGATAATGAGTTTGAGTGCACGAAGTGCGGAGTGCGGTCTTCTGAAGAAAACTGGCTCTACAAATTGAAGCTGAATGTTGTGCACGGTCGTCACAAGGCTGAGCTGCTATTCTGGGATCAAGCATGCAAGCAGTTTTTGGGAAAACCTGCATCCGATTTTCGTGAACACCTGGATGATGTATGTTCATAACAAGTATTACTTTGGCTGCTATGATTTCCTATGTCAAAACTCAATGTGTTTTAGGTATCTATAAATACCTTAAAGTATTTGTTTCTCTTCGCTCAGGATAAAGGGCATTGCACGAAGCATTTTCCTAAAAAATTCTCCCAACGGACGACCATTGATAAGAGTGGTTACCCAAAATACAGGAGGAGAAACAATGGAAGGTCTGTTGAGAAAAATGGTCATCCTATGGACAATAGATATGTTATCCCACATAATCGTACTTTGCTTCTCAAGTATGGAGGACACATCAATGTGGAGTGGTGTAATCAATCACGGTCAGTCAAGTATCTTTTCAAGTATATAAATAAAGGCGATGATCGGATAACTGTTGCATTTTCAGAAGCTACTGACAGCTCCAAACCACAAAAGATCGATGAGATCAAGATGTACTATGACTGTCGATACATCTCCGCTTGTGAGGCTGCATGGAGAATTTTTTCATACCATATCCATTACAGGGATGTTCCCGTTGAGCGGTTAAGCTTTCATCTACCAGGAGAGCAAAATGTATACTACAAACCTGATGCATCCATTGAGTCAGTACTCCGTAACACCAATCTTCACTCTACGAAGTTTATAGCTTGGATGAGAGCAAACCAACTTTATCAGGAGGCCAGGGAGTTGACATACGTTGACTTTCCCTCTAAGTTCACATGGAGCAAAAAGAAAAGGGAGTGGTCACCGCGGAAAAGGGGGTTTGCGGTTGGGCGTGTGTTCTTTGTGCGTCCCGGAGCAGGTGAGAAGTACTACTTGAGAGTTCTGCTGAATGTAGTAAAAGGGCCAAGAAGTTTTGAAGAGTTGCGTACCGTGGATGGAAAGATATATGACACATTTAGGGATGCCTGTTATGCTCGCGGGTTACATGGAGATGACAAGGAGTACATAGATGGCATTACAGAGTCAAGTCATTCAGCAATGGCGCGATGGCTACGCCATTTGTTTGTTACTCTTTTACTGCAGGGATCGATGACTAAGCCTGAATCGGTGTGGGAAAAGTGTTGGGAGTATTTGTCGGAAGACATATTATACAATGTGAGGAAGAACCTTCATGATCAAGGTACACATTTATATTAGTCGTAATAATTTAATGTTCTTCTGTGGTTAACAATTATTTCTAATTCATATTCTTTTGACTCATACTTACATTGAAATACATGTGTCATATCTTCTAAAGAGTTGGAACTAGACAAAGGAGAAATTCAGAAGTACTGTTTAGTGGAGATTGAGAAGCTTCTCCAGCAAAGAGGAAAATCACTGCGTGACTACGTCGGAATGCCAGTGCCCCCCGATTCTTATATCCCCTCCATGGAGGACATTCTCATTCATGAAGAATTGAAGTACGATAAGTGTGTGATGGCTGAAGAACATCAAAAGTTGTTGAAGGATATGACAGATGAACAACGAGCTGTTTACGAAATAATCATGGAATCTGTCGACCGCAAATGTGGCGGTGTGTTTTTCTTATACGGACATGGTGGCACGGGAAAGACTTATTTGTGGAGGACTTTGTCTGCGGCAATTAGATCACGAGGAGAAATAGTATTGAATGTGGCATCCAGCGGTATTGCGTCACTCCTTCTTCCCGGAGGAAGGACCGCACACTCGAGGTTTGCTATTCCACTTAATGTGACGGAGGACTCAACGTGCAACATAAAACACGGTAGTCCCTTGGCCAGGCTTCTTGAACAGACATGACTAATTATTTGGGATGAGTCTCCAATGACGCATAAACACTGTTTTGAAGCACTAGAGCGCACTATGAGAGATGTCCTTTGCTTCTCACCGGAGTGTGATGGTGCCATGCCTTTTGGTGGAAAAACTATTGTATTTGGCGGGGACTTTCGACATATATTGTCGGTCATTCCAAAAGGCACGCGACAAGATATTGTACAAGCGTCTTTAAATTCATCGTATTTGTGGTCATATTGTAGGGTGTTGAAACTGACAAGGAACATGAGGCTTGCACACGTGATCGAATCATCCAGCGCAGCTGACATAGAGCGCTTTGCAGATTGGATTTTGAAGATAGGGGATGGTATTTTGGGAGACGATGAGGATGGGGAATCAAAAGTCCACATACCTTCCGAATTTCTTGCTCCGATGACGGATGATCCCATTGAGTCTATTGTTAATAGTACGTATCCAGATTTCTTGACTCATAGGGAAGACATTTCATATCTGAACTCTAGGGCCATTCTTGCGCCTACGATTGATGAGCGAGACAAGATCAATGATTACATGTTGGGGCTCATTCCAGGCGAGGAAAGGACATACTTAAGTTGTGATTCGGCATCTTCCTCTGACTCAGATAGCGAGCTCCTTCAGGACATTCATTCCTCGGAATTTCTTAATAGCATCAAATGTTCTGGTGTGCCAAGTCATGAACTCAAGCTTAAGGTGGGTGTGCCTGTGATGCTTATGAGAAACATAGATCACACTGTTGGGTTATGCAATGGTACGAGACTCATGGTAACTAAACTCGGGACTCATATTATTGAGACTCAGATGATGTCAGGATCAAATGCTGGTGAAAAGTATCTTATTCCCCGACTTAGTTTAACGCCTTCGGACTTGAAGCTCCCTTTCACGTTTCAGCGCAGGCAATTTCCTCTTATGCTTAGTTATGCGATGACGATTAATAAGAGTCAGGGACAATCGTTAGAAAGAGTTGGTGTATTTTTGCGGCGTCCGGTTTTTACTCACGGACAATTATACGTTGCGGTATCGAGAGTTACAAGTCCATCAGGGTTAAAATTTGTCATATGTGACGATGATGGTCAACCAAGCAATACTGCTACAAATGTTGTTTACAAAGAAGTGTATAACAATTTATAGGTTTTTTCATATGTCATTTCACTTACGATTCCAATGTTTAAATTATATTTCTATTAACATTCAATTCAGATCTTTACATTCTCGATGAAATGTTTTCCCGTGCAACGCACGGGTTAAAAACTAGTGACAATATAAAGTGCAGTTTTTTTAATTGGACGAAAATACGTACTATAAAATGCACATTTTTTAAATAAGTATATTTTGGTCATGGTGTGTAGCATATAATAAGCACACAACTATTTTTTTTTACCCAAGGAAGTAGGGTGTCGAACCACAGAGAAGCGGGAAATAAAATAATTAAGCACAAACTAAGGATTAAAGTTGGGAATGTGTTACTTTTGATTTTTGGTTTGCTTGAAAAAGTAATAAAATAAAAGTGATTGAGATGAGAGATTTTTATCAACACAAAGTTCATCCAATAGAAAGTAGGGGTAGAAATTGGTAACTAATTGTTCAATGTTTAATTGAAAGACATAATTGCTAATTTTATTCTTAGATAAATTGTGAGAAGTTGTAGATAAATATTTTAGAACTCAACACAAGTCATCTAAAATAAGTAACTAGTCAACATTTTCCAGTGATGGCCAAAATGAGACTAGTTGTTTAAGTGCAACGACAACCTTAATTATTGACTATATTATTTACCCAACCCCGTGGTGTAATTGATATAATTAAATAATTAAATTCTCCCGTAAAACTTCAATTCGGGACAAGGTAAAAGAAGTTTAACGGTGTGTTCAAAAAGTGTTCATTTGTG